CACCCAAGGGCAGAAGGATTTAATCGCCGTCAGGTCCGAAGTCCATACGCCGCCTCAGCTCTGCGGATGTCTCGGGGGTATGGCAAAGTTGAATCGCTTTTTTCTTTTCTTTTGGTGGGTTCGAATCCCGTCTTATCCACATAAAGTCTTTCTTTCTTGATCCGTTTTTTTATTAGATTTAAATCTTCCTCAATAAGGCATTCTTTTAAGTGAAAAAAATGTATTCCTATTCTGTTGCTTGTAAGCCTGTATAAGTTCGATCAGACGTTATCAGTCATGTAAGCAATATCGATCCGCGAAAAGTAGACCTATGCTTTCCTATCTTTCCTGGCAAAGTTTACTGACAAGAACATTTACTGCACTTGGACCATCATATGCACGCAAAGGACTAGTGGGTGGTGCCGTGAAGACTTCTAGGTACTATTGCACTATTTTGGTGATTGTGACAGAGAACATTTGGATATTTGATCTTGTTGCGTCATGGCGCAAGACCAAATTCACAACTAAGTAGCGTGACATGCATAACGCAAAATTCTTTATTTTGTGGTCTAAAAAAGGGCAGAACCTGCAAATATTTTAATATCATTTAGAAAAAGCCCTAAAGGGAAAAGATCGTCTTAGACAAGTTAAACGAAATCATTCTTTTCTGTGAACCATTCCATTATCTTTTGACTAACATTGCAACGAGGCCTCTGTGCATGATACAGGCAACCCAGTGAACGCCTGTAAGGCGTCTTGTTTTGAAAAAAAGTCTGGCAAAAAATAAAAAATATTCTCCCCTGCAGCGGTTCATAGTGGTGTCACACAACGCTCCCTCCTTCTTGCCGTGACAATGTCTGCGGGCGAGACCAGGCAAATAAAGCCAAATTGATTCCAGATACAGAACTAGATTATAGCGTGACACATTGCATCGATACGCTGCCCGGCGCCATCTTGGGATTTGTACGAGTATGCGCAATTGTTAGAATTGGGCTGAAATAGCTCCGGGATGGCCTGGAGTATCACTCTTTATTGCACCACTTGTCCTTTAGGAGACTAGTTAACTTTATAAATACGTTAAGATAACTATCACTTGACCGTAAATAGTCGACCTCTATCAGATAGACCTTTTTACACGACAGCTATCTTGTATTATGGGATGGCGAGAGAAAAAAGAAAATAGCGTAGCGGCCGCGGGGTTACGTTTTTAAAATGAAGTCTTAGTGTTTACATATTGTTCCAATTACCGGCAAATAATTTAATTGCTTTTTAGTTGTGCTTTTCATTGAAAAGCGTAAAGTTATATAAAAAGACATCCTGACAGCTGTGGCATCTATACATTTTCCAATACTAATACGCATGCCCTAGGGAAATGCCATAAAAGTAGAATTCAAGATGGCCACCTTACCGGTAAAAAGGTCTAGAAGCGTGACGATGTAACTGATCCACGGATAACTCCGACAAAGGACTAGCGTCCGAAACGTCAGTACGTTTTTTCATCTTTTCACGGTGTATAATTTACCCTTTTATCATTACTGTTTCATTAGAAACATCGACTCAGCTCACACTAGTTTTTAGCTAGTTATCTCTTCTTATCCACTGAATCATAAGCAGAAGGAACGGAGGCTTAATTTTTTTCTTCTTGTACTTCCTCTTCTGCTTCGGTCCTTCCTGCGCTAGTGAAAACCAGATTCTTATGCTTCGTCTCTCACATGCAGAACGCACTAGGTAAAGTGATTTATATTAGCCAAACAACGAGGCTTCCTTTTACTTTCCTTCTGCTTCCGTTTATTCATTTTCACTGAAATATAACGACGTAATGCCTCCGTTTCTCTGCTTTCGTTGCTTCCGGCGCTCATGACAACCAGGCTTAAGAAAAACTTCAATTCAAAGTTAATAGACTTCTATCTTTCTACCAAAGTCTTTTCGTTATGCCATTCCCTTTTTATAAATTAACATTTCTTTTAATTTCACAAAGTTTCTCGCTTTCCAAAATCTTTTTCCAACAAACAATTTTTCTGTCTACTATAAAGTTTTATAAAATAACTGTTATGAATGTCGCGTTCTGATTGGTTTGAAGCGCGTGCTTTATGAGAGAACACAGCATGCGCGCGCACTTCCCGTTACGTCATTCCTATCTATTATTGTAATTTGTATTTTATAAAAGAAATAAAAAACTTGCTTGCTGTGCTGTGTGCAGTTATAAAGCACTTGGGAATTGGCAGAACGCTCTAGAAGTGTCGAGAAGCACTCCGCTACGCGTCGTGCTTCTAATAACACTTCTCTCGTATCCTGTCAACCCCCGCGTGTTTTATGACAGCACACAGCACGCGCGCGCGTTTTCTATTTCTTCATGATTTTTGTTTTTGAAGCCTACTTAAGGTGCCACCTGGCGCGAAGCAGTTGCTGCGTATGTGAAGGTAAACTGAGTTTGAAAATTCGAGGGACACGAGACAAATGTAACCGGCACTTGACGTATCTAATAATGATCCTTTAATTAACAATATTATTATTCCCGACCATCACAACTTCTAATTTGATATTTCATATGAATTTCATACTTTATCGTACGTGATAGTCTCCTAGATTTTTTATCATAAATATCCAATCCAATCTAATCTAATCTATCATATATCTTATCTAATATAAATATACGGCACATAATAAGCATATAGATAGTCGTATGGGGTCGAGTATACAGACAGAAGGTTCGCCCGACTCAGCCAGAGGCGGAACACGTAAGCTTGAATTCGTCCCTGAATGAATTAGCGAGAAAGCGCCTCGTCGCCAATCAGAATTTTTATATACATTTGTACATTTAATTATTGTAAACGCATAGAAAAAAAACTGTCTTTATTATTGTTATTAGTATATGTAATAGGACCCCATGCCGTCCAACTAAGAAATAATTGGACGAGGAAAATTCCGAGGACTGAGTCCAATTTGGCAGTCAATTTTTCGAGTCTAATTATTTCTTGATTGGGGAGTATGAAATCCCATTACCTATTAATTATATAGCTGCCTAATTAATCCCATATCAACAAGACCTGTCCAATTAATGATGGTAATTGAACTGAGTGGAGTGCGATTTGGACCAAAATCATACGAGTGATTACAAAATTGCACGACCGCCTAGCGGGAGTGCAATTTGTTAATCACAAGTATGATTTTGGTCCAAAATTGCACGACACGAAGTTCAATTACCACTTAATCATATCCTTTTTGTAATCATACACAAGAAAAAGACACAATAAAGAGTGCAGAATAATCATTTTAATGTAGAATAAGAAGTAAATCAATCAGGTTTTTCCTGTATAAAATAAACGATTTATCAGCAAATCATTAATACCCATAAATAATGCTTATCATTCTCCTCTCTGACTGGCTGAATATAAGAATTCTGTTCTGTGATTGGTTCTTTCAAAAAGATGCGATTAAGAGCTCCTAAGGATGCGATTTGGGAATTAATCGCACTCCTATGAACCAATCAGATTGCAGGATTTGGTAGTGATTACAAAAAGGATATGATTAAGAAAATAATTGGAAAGTTACCTATATAGGATTAATGAAAAGCTGTATAATAATAATAATAATAATAATAATTATTATTATTATTAAATCAGTAAATGGTAATCTGCCATTTACTTTTATAGATATTATATTTCGAAACGCGGGGAGAAGTTGCCCGATTCTTCTGAACCATGGTCAACTCTTTTATGGTATAACTGATGTTGTCATTCATATTTGGGATCACCATAGTTAGTAGAGGGGAATGGTTATGAAACCTATTGTTATATGTCTGCACAATCCTTTGTTTTACCATTGTTTTACCATTGTTGGCAATGGCTGAGTGAACAGACCAAAATCTTTCTTTTGGCTGCTAGTTCAAAATACTTAAAGATTTATAAGATATTTGAATATTCCTTACAACAATCCCATATACACAAAATTTATGTTTACTTATTTTGCAATTTTGGATGAGCAAAAATCAAACCTTATGCACGGTCAAGACCGGTTCAACATCAAAAGCGAACAAAGACCTCTAACAATAGGTTTCATAACCATTCCCGCAGGGCCGTACGTAACTAGGGGGGAGCACAGGGTGCACGGCACCCCCCATAAAAGCTTAAGGTCCGCTCATACATCTCCTTTTCTTTTTCTTTTTCTTTTCTTTTTTTTCTTTTTTTTTTTTTTTTTTTTTTTTCCTTTTTTTTTTTTTTTTTTTTTTCTTCTTTTTTTCCTTTTTTCCTTTTTTTTCTTGGTTCTGCTTAGTTTTGGTTGAGTTGGTAATAAGAAAACGATCAATGGTCCGATTTTATTCGATGTGCACTCTCCCTGTAAAAGTTCTGGTTACGGCCCTGTTCCCCTCTATCAACTATGGGATCACGTAGCTCAAAGCTGGACTCGCATGACGATGCATGCGTGGCAAGGACGAGCTGTTTAGCTAGTAAAGACATCGATGGATCAAATCCACTTGGGTGAAGTGTTTTGTTCATTTCAGTCTACGTGTCACTCTCTTCAGAATAAGATTCTTTGAGTTGTATCCATATTCATGTGTCTTCTCATGCACAACCGTTGAACAAAGAAATAATACTCTAGGGAATGACACGTGGTCGGGAATGGGAAAACAGTGGATTAGATCTATTATGAACAGATTTCACTTGCATGCTAACGCTTCTGATACAGTTATGTAACAGTTAGGGTCCCGTTCACACATGCATTTCAGCGCGTTCTTTCCTTGAGCGACAACAACAACAACAACAAGTGCCTTAACCAGGCATGGGAATTGTTAATCCTTTCTACTGCAAAATAATAAAGAGATGTTCGTAGCATTTAGAAATACCAGTTCAATACAATCCGGCCGGATCAGTACTGATCATTATATTGAGCTGGGCACATGATACCGATGCTGAATGCTTACATGCCGCAGAAAATACCACATTGTGTCCAGCTCCGTACGCGTGACGATGTGGTCGTGGTAAATCAAAATCGCATCAATCCATGCTCCCCTCCCCCCAATTCCATCTCGAATTTTATCGATGTAATCATCTTGCCGCTCAAAAATGAAACTTCGCTGAAGAATAACCAACTTTGTGTTTACATCTTGTTTAATGTGCGATTTTCTTTACTTGAAAATGCTCCATACAGGATTCAGAATGTTTGCCTGTGTGCAGCACTGACATGGATCAGTGTGAGCACCAGTAACTGACCAATAAATACATTATAGTTACTGTCTATATTAGCTATAATCACACTATACACCATGCGTGATTAAATACTGATAGGTAAGATTATTCTGGTTATTTTGTTTCGTCTTTGTTACCCCACATCCATTGAACATTTGAAGCAGGCCATCATTAAATGTATTTGACGTGCACTAGTTGACATTGGGACGGCTCGGCACTCGACGTCCCTGGCATTGTCTCAGCATTGCCGCGTAAGGTTCGCAAGAAGAATGTATTCGTTTCTGAGCACCTCCTTACTCTTCTTTTCTCAAAAATCCTTTTCAAGCCTTGTCGATAATTCTTAACAAACAAAAAGTAGATGCAAGGATTGACCGCTGGGTTAAGATACCCTAGAAGCACAACAACAAACATGATTATTTCAGTGGTTTTTGGTTCGATGGGCGGAGGTTGCCACTTCCAAATAAAACCTACCACAGATAGAAACAAATAAAATGGTCCCCAGAGGATTATAAACGCAGCTACGATAGCTACTGATATATAAAAGATCTGCTTGTTTCTTCGACGTCGTGATTGGACTTGTTGGTTGTTAAGCATGTTGTTGACCGTTTTTGAGTTTTTGTTGACTTTATACATCAGGAAGGAATAAACCAGTATTATGATACCCATTGGTATGAAAAACAAAACCATGATTATCGTTGAGATAAAGGCAGTTTTATCTTGGAATGTCGGCCATGAAGGCCCACATAAATTGAGGTCGTTGACTTTTACAAGCTTAAAAATGTAAAAGTAGGGAGAGAAGACGGCGACAGCCATGACCCAAGTGGCTAAGATCAGAAGGTATCCTTTTTTCTTGCTAAACGTCTGAAATCGTAGGGGAAAAACAATGGCAATGAGCCTGTTTACAGAAATAGCAAGCAGAGTGAAGACTGAGACGGCTGGCGAAATATCTGCAAGTAGATAACATAGTTTACATAGGACGTTACCGAGGGTACCACTAACCAACCATAGATAGCGCGTCCCACTTGCCTGTTCAGCAATCTTTATTGGAAGAGCAAACAGTGGGACAGCTAAGTCTGAAATTGCCATGTTCACAATAAGGTAATTGAAATTCGTTTTTAAGCCTTCATTTCCGAAGATTACGATGACTACAAGTATGTTGCCAAGTAGAGTCCATACAAGGACGATGCTGTACAGGATGATCTGTAATTGGGATGAAATGATTGTTGTGTCGTTCGGTATGGACATCGAACTATTGGGGAAAATAGAGTGGTTATCCATGGCTCATTCCTGAAAAAAAAAGAGATACAACATATCAAGCTTTACTCTATATGTTAGTGTCGAAGTTGCAGTAGAGAAAGCGCACTCCATATATGGTATGATCAATTCCATATTTGGATTGTGCGGAAAAGCGGCAAACAAAAAGGCCGTCGTTTTATAACGAATTCGACATGAACATTTTTGAAGAAGAAAAGAAAAGAAAAAAAGACAAGTAAAAAAGAAAAACTTTGGAAAATCAAGGAAGGATACGGGGACTATGCTAACTCGTGGGTCTGCCCGCAGACAACAGACACAGGGAAATACGACACTCAATATTGATACAAAAAGATTCAACATATCTGGGATCATAAAGAAGAGCATATGAAAACCCATATAAAAGAACAAGGAATACTATAAAAGTACGCAGCCTGTGAAGGACATAACAATAGGTTTCCAATTTCCAGGAGTTTGAAATTCTTTTCTTTTGTCCTCCAAATTGAGCTGCTTTGACGTCACATGCACAAGAGGTCTATATTCGTACTTGGGCCATAAACCAGTGAAAAGGACGGTATGGACCTCGCATGGTTAATAAGAGCTCTGTACGTATTTAACTTTCTTTTCATTTTTTCTTATAAAACATGAAACCAAAGTTAAAATATTGCTTGATATTGCCGAAAACTCCGACCGAACAACTTGTCTTCACTTATTTTTTAATCGATTGATTTGATAGTCGTATCGACCGTGTTAACTAGTTTAGTTTTATTAATTTAAGTTTTTCAATTTAAATCGTTATTTTACAAGGGTGACATAATATGGCCCTCGAAAACGAAAAGTTAAAACTATAAAACTCGAAAAGATCTAATATATAAGCAACTATTAGATGTAAAAATAACTAGGTAGAAAATGGACATAATAGAAATTAGTATAATGCAACTATCTAGTGACTATCTGCAGAGTTAAGTTTGTCGAGGAAAAGAGAGCGTATAACTGTCGTTTTAGAGAAAGAGGAACAACAGAGACATTGGTAGGTCGAGAGGTGGACAAAATTTGCTTTAGATCAGGATGCAAAAAATTGAAAAGGACAGAAGCAGAATATTGAAAGCTTCTAAGACCAGTATTTGAGCAAGCTTTAGGGGCAAGAAGATCAGTTGTGCAAGCTCTAGTATGGCGGTTGCAGTTTGTTCGTCAAAAATCGGGAATAAAAGGGAAAAAAAAGCATTGCAGTTAACAGGTGCAAGAGGGTTTATGCCTCGAGCAGAACGCTTTTATGCTCTAAGAAGCCTGATTTGTTGTCACTGAGTCATTTTTGCATTGTGTTAAGTAAAAGAATGGTGCGGGCTGGAAAACGCTTTCATTTCACTAATATAACTTGCTAAAGCTTTGATAGCCACAATCCCTATCTCTGATAAACATCCCTATATATAGTGTAGCTTTCCGCTCCTGTTCTGAATATATATGAACTATATACTTGTACTGTCGTGATATATCTGATGAGATACGTGAGCTGATCCTCACAAAGCAACTTATGCAGCTGCAATTTTTTTTAAAGACAGAAAAAAATTGAGTCTTAAACGGGATAAAATATTTTTGGTGTTTAACATAACTCATGCAAGCTTTAAAAACTCTAGCTATCCTGCTCTAAAACATTCCATACCTTTTATCGGTCCTACGTTGCCCAATGAAGCCTGTAGACCATACTAGCTATACGGCTGATTGAAAAAAACCAAGTCTTTTAGAAATTTAAAGCCAAAAAACAACAAGACGAAGACTAATCAAGAAAAGCCAGTAGACTTCAACAGCTGTATTTGGCACTGACAATTCTTCCTTTTCTATAGGCTGGCAACTGCATTCATACAGTTTTAGAAACTATTTACGCTAGACACAATAGATGGAACAATTCAGTAAAGTCACTTCATGAAGAAAAAACATTGTGAAGTCAAGTTGAACTAGGCTGTAAAAGCAGTGTAAACTGTGTGAGTCACCTTGTCTAGTATCAACAATACAAACCATCTTGCGTGCTTTGTCCTTCGATTCCATTCCATTCCAAACTTTGTCTTCCTCTATTTACAATATTTTAATGCTATTTTTTTCAACAACAAAAGCACAACCTTCAAGTGGCCAAGTGCTTATTCGTCTCTCATCCGTTTCGTTTCTAGTGATCAAAACGCCATCAAAACAATAAATGGAAATAGCGCGTGCGAAAAACCATATGGCCCTTGTTCTGGTAGTATTGGAATTTAGAAGTYGAAATTTTGTGGAAGGAGGAAAACCGGAGAATCCGGAGAAAATAAATCTCAAGGCACATAAGAAAACCAACAAGTAGCCGTTACTACTACGTACCCTAGCCTCAGAGAACGAGACTCTCCGGGGATTGGGGAAAGAGGCGGAACCTCTCGCCGATCCACTGAGAGCTCCGTTCATAGGTCCTAATGTTCCGATGGTGACGAGTGTTTATATACAAAAAGTGTTCTTTAGCGAAGTCATTTAAACATGGCGCCTATTATAACCGGAATGACACAAAACAGTAAAGTTCATTGAAGTTTTTTTTTTTTTTTGCATAGGGGAAACGTTTCGACTCCAAGTCAATGCATGGAATTGGTTTGTGTTCATACATGTCAACTTTGATATATCTAACTTTTGTATAATATGCAGGTTGGTGGCTAGTGGTCGTAGGCGCCACATCTAAGGCCGGTTAACTACTAGACAAACGCTGCAGCTGTTCAAAAAGTAAAATCATATAAAGTTGTACGCAATATCAAACTAGACTTTTGTTGGATGCTGTGTAAAATAGCTTGGCAAAGTTCCTAAAAAACGCGCATCAAGACGGATGAAAAAAGAAAGCTTGTGAGCAAATTACTTGGTAAGGCCTCCGTCAATGCTCCGTTATTTGGACGTTTTAAGCCTAATCTAAAAGGATTAGGGAGAACAGTAAATTAAGCGGGCACAAGATCAACCTCCCTCAGTGCTTCGTTATATCGATGTTTTAAGCCTAATCAAGGATTAGGGAGAAGAGATTAATCGGAACAATAAAATATAGAGCCTAAAGTTTGCTTTTCTTTCTAATACGACAACCAAGCCACGCTTGTTTCTAAAAGAGCGCTTTTCGTAATCAGTAGCGATACACAGCAAATTTACTTACCTTACTGTGCCCGTAAATGCGTGTTGCGATTGGATGAATATCGGGCCACTTTCGGGCACGAAAAACATATCGGAATAAAATGTTCAAAATAGCATTAAACCTCAAAAGGATTAGTTAATATAGTGGTATAGATTTGATATAACATTTTCAATGAGTAGTTGAGTGACTAGCACATTTATCACGATTTTCTTAATATTGTTTTGCGGAAAGTTATCAGCGTCATATATGGTACATTATTATATTCTTACCAGTAATCAGTTGTATTTGGTTATCCACGCGTTCGTACCATACATGAAATATCACAAGATAAAGCCTGAAATGAAGTTCTAATTTAAGATATCGAATCGAACTTAACGAGGTCTATTCATTACTGGAAGACAATGAAAAGCCATTTCAACGTTAATGATAAAAGGGTAAATTTTATACCGTGAAAAGCTGAAAAAACATACTGACGTTTCGGACGGTAGTCTTTCGTCCTCTTTTACTCCGACAAAGGACTAGCGTCCGAAAAGTCAGTAAGTTTTTCCATCTTTTCACGGTGTATAATTTACCCTTTTATCATTACTGTTTCATTAGAAACACCGACGCAGCTCACACTAGTTTTTTAGCTAGTCGTCTCTTCATTTCAACGTTAAATCATCTCGTACCTTGTAACGTGCGTCCACTCATACGAAAAGCACTCTATGATCAAAGAGTTTAGTTCTTGACCTTTTTATTTTGACTACATTGTCAATGAATAATATATAGTAATTGAATAAATGCTACCCTGCAGATAACTATTTCATATCCGTTAATTAAATGGACTAATCAATGTTAAAGATACTTATCTCACAATCTCATCAACTGATATAACTATAAAGGTTAATTTTTTCTAGAAAATGCATATTACTCTAATGCTATCTATTTTCAAATAACATATGATCTAGCCTTCTGATTTGTTCGGAGCGCGTCCTTTATGAGAGTACACACCTATTTCGTATCTAAATAAACGACTATTCTAATTTGGAAATTAGCAGAGGACTTGAGAAATGTAATGATTACCCCTTTCTCGTTGTTTTGCAAAAAAAAAAAAAAAAAAAAAAAAAAAAAAAAAAANGAAAACTGACTGCAACAGTGACTTATAATGATATTTTAGTTGTTTCTCGAGAGTATTAAACAAAAACAAAAAGACGCAACACTTGAAGGTAATTGCAAAAAAAAAAAAAAAAAAAAAAAAAAAAGAACTCTAACCGCACTAGTTTCCAATTTCTTCAAAACTAAATCTATTTGTGAACATGCAAGATAATATATAATGAAGAACTTCCGAAAGGATTTCTTTTGCAATTTGCTTACTTCAAAAGGCGTTTTAATTAATCCCATCCACTTAAGTTGGTACATGCAATCGTAACGAATAAGTATGTTGCTTCTGGGTAAGTGACTATAGGACATATATATAATAGATCCTATTAATGTTATAAGGAACATAACGAATTGAATTTTCAAATCCGGAATGGCCCGCGGATCGATAAGCACCTTAAAATCGTTAATGGCGTCTCAATCATCGTTTATGTAACTGATCACGAACTAAACTTATAGTCACACCCTGTATTATGCGATCACTGCCCGGGTAAAAAAGGTGTGACGAACCCCTATTTCTAAAACGATAAGATGAATTTACAGTCACAGAAACCTGTATTATGCGATCACATGCTGAGAATACAGGGCTTAGTATAGGCTGCCCGGTTAATAAAGGTGTGACGAAGGGCGGGCGTTTGGGCATGCTCTATTGCTCCAACTCTCAGACCGATGTGAATCCGGGTGCAGCGTCGTATGGCAGTAGCGTTGCTTATTGGTTCTCTCCAGTACTTCATCTTAATTCGATCATGCAATGAAGGTCACAGGTTTCTTACTC